GAGAGGGGAGGAGGGGGAGAGGGGCAGCCAGGGGGCTGCTGCTTGGCCCCCTCCCCCGACCTCGAATTCTTCCCCGTCTCCGCCAGGGCGGCCCTCGGTCCCCCACTGAGAACGGGACCTCCTAGCCCGGACTCCTGGCTCTGCGGTTCAGTCTCCCTAGACCGAGTCCTTTCAACTGCTGGAGACCAAAAGCCACGCCAGGCGGGGCAAAGGTACAGGCACCCAGCGAGGGGTGCGGCCAGGCCTGGTGACCCTAAGGCGTTAACAGGCTCTCTTCCACTTGCCCCTTGCAACCTCGCCTTCCCCGTCATCTCCCCAAGGCTCATCTGGGCCCTGGCCCACCCTGCCTTCCCCAGGATGCACTCACCCCGCTGCAATCAACCCCCCTCCAGGGAGGAGGCTGCCGAGCCTCTCCCTCTCTGGATGTTTGCCTCCATGGCCCAGACTCACTTTTGGAGGGAGACTGACTGGGAGATCCCACTTGCAATGGGCAAGTTATGCACCGAACAACTCCAGGGGCCACCACCATTCCCTGTAGTCACCACATATTTGTATAGCTGTTTTGACAGTTTCCCCGCAGATGGCAGTCAATGCTTTTGAGGAAGGGGTGCTTTTTATATGAAACAAGTTGCTTAAGTTCTCCCAGAGTTGCTATTTGGACTAGTGTTGGGGCTAACTTGCCCCTCTGCGAAATCCTATTGATGCCAGGTCCCCCACCCTTGCCTAAATCTTACTGGGATGGGGGGGGAGTAGTTAGTAGCATTTGGAGCAAAGATTCATCTCCTAGGTTCCTTAGCAGGCCTCCTAACACTCATCCATCCTCCCCTACAAAGGCTTCTGCTATACTGGAGCTGGTTTCAAGGTAAGGGCTCCTGTCCAGGCATAATTGGTAACCCACTGTGGATTTTAGGGGAGTGCAGGGGCTTAGCCTAGAAAGCTATGGGGCAGCCAAGCTAAAAATACAGTTCAGAGACCCCCTTCCTGCTTCCTCTCCCACGACAAGGCCTTTCAGCCTCACAGGGGTAAGGCCACCTCTTACTTTCTACAAGTGCAGACCAACCGCCACCGGGTGACTGGAAGAAGAGAGGGGCTGGAAGCAGACCTGCAGGACCGACCAAAAAGTTGCAAACGGACGGCACCTACTGGCAGCCATCAAGACTGCAGAAGGGCTGGAGAGTGAGACCGAACTGGGCTTCTCTCCACCGCATCTCACCGACGAAGGGGGTCCTTTTGCACCATATGCCTTGGAAAAGGGCAAACAGAGCCAGGTTCTTCAAGTCCCAGGAGGAAGCTCAGCCTGTGCCTGATTCAGAAAGCTGTCTCCAGCTCTGTCACCCTCCTCCTTCATCACCTCTGGACCCGATTCTGCCACCGACTTGTGTGAACTTGGAGCTTGGCTGCCTCTAACTGTAAAGGGGAGCTAGATCGTCCCCACCCATCCTACCTCTTGAAGCTCTTGCGAGAATGAAACGGAATTGAGAAGGATAGTTCTGATCCCAATTCCGGGCTTGTCTCCTAGACAGCAAGCCCAGGGGAAGCAAAAGCCAAAGACAGGAGTGCAAGAGAGGCTGGGCAGAGCCAAGAAACATACCTGGGATGAGACGTAAGGGCAGGCGAGTGTGGGAAATCCGGAAATGTTGCCAGGTGAGACAGATGCCACACCTCAACCTCGGGCCCCCAGTTCACCCTCCGGTGTCATTGGGATAAAAACCCTTCATCGTGCAGATAATTCCAAGGAGGCAGCAAAGTACACAGCAGGGGGTCTTCCAAGCACCTCCTGCCCTTCATGCCACACACATTTACTGGACAGCTATCATGCGCGTGCTTTATGCTCTTTACCAGGGATGCAAAGATGGCCAAGACCACTTTGCCCTCAGGGAGCTCACTGCCCGGTGAGGGAAGACGCTGTGCAAATAAAATAAGTCTAAGACACGTGCAGGTGTCCAGGAAGACCTTTATGCGGGCCCCATGGGGATCCAGAGGCACAAGCGATCTGTCCTACATTCAGGGTGTGGATGATACTTGAGCCAATGGCTCTCCATGCTAGAGGGGAAAGCATAGGTGTTAGCAACAGCTTGACCTGGACTCTAATCCCAGCTCTGTCTCTGGACTCACTGGGGAACCTGAAACAAGTTACTTAAGCTCTCTGAGCTACAGGCCTTTTCTGAAAATAGGACTTTGTAGCAAGCAAGAAAGAGACCTATACAAAGTGCCTGGCACATAGCAGTTGCCAAGTGTTTGCTCCCTCCTACCCCCTCTGCTGGGAGCTCTGATTCCTCCACATGGCTGGAGATCCCCCAGAGGCAGGACCCATCTCCCCCACTGAACTGGTGGCTCAGGAAGACTGGGTTCATGCTGCCCGGTGTCCAGCCTGCGAGTATCTGGGAGAGATTGTATATAAAGGGCATGAGTCAGATGTGGTGGCTTGTGCCTATAATCTCAGTGCTTTGGGAGACAGAGATAAGAGGACTGCTTGAGGCCAGGAATTTGAGGCCAGTCTGGGAACATAGTGGGACAGCATCTCCACAAAAAAAATTTTTTTTGATTTGTCAAGCATGGTGGTATGCACCTGTAGTCCCTGCTACTCCAGAGGCTGAGGCTGGAAGATCACTTGAACCCAGGAGTTTGAGGCTGCAGTGAGCTGTGATTGTACCACTGCATTCTATCCTGGACAATAGAGTGAAACCTGTATCTAAAAGATAAAAATACATTTTTTTAAGGCATGGGATTTGGAGTCTGGGGTCCTGGGTTCAAGTTGCAGAACAGCCTCTTAATAGCTGTGTGAACTTGGACCTGCCACTTAACATTTTGGAGGGTCATTTCCACCCTCTGTAAAAAAGAGAAAAGTAATTGCGTTTACCGCCCCCCCGCCCCAGGATGGTTGGAAGAAAAAATGAGATAGGAATGAGAAAAGGCTCTGTGACCCAAGAAGCAGGGGCCGGCACAGGTTATCAGTTTCTCCACCTGACTGCTGCCTCCTTGCAGATGGAGAACTCCCACTAGGAGCCTCTCAAAGACAGAAACCCGGCCTCCTCTGCTATCTTTCCCAGCCCAGGCCTCTACCAGAAAACAAAACCTCCTCCACGACAGCCTTGTCTGTCCCTTCCTCCTGAGGGCTGGGAGATGTTTTCCAACTGATGGATGGTTGAAGAAAATCCCCACTCTCTCCCAGCCTCCTCCACCTCACACCCCCACTGGCCTCGTTGCTTAGACCGCCTCACTGGCTCGCTTGTTGGTACAATTTCAAACCTCACCCGGGTGCGGTGGTTCACGCCTATAATCCCTGAAATTTAGGAGGCAGAGGCAAGAGGGTTGCCTGAGCCCAAGGATTCGAGATCAGCTTAGGCAACTTGGCGAGATTTCATCTCTAAAATAAATTTTAAAATTAGCCGGACATGGTGGCGTGTGCCTATGGTTCCAGCTATTTGGAAGGCTGAGGTGGAAGGATCGCCTGAGCCCAGAAGGTCGAGGTTGCAGTGGCCGTGAGCCTGCCACTGCACTCCAGCCTAGGCGACAGAGTAAGACTCCGACTCAAAAAAAAAAAAAGCAAAAATTTCAAACCTCTGCTGGGCTCAGGCTGGGCTTCTTAGAGAACAAATATGAAGAAAGCAAACTTGGTTCCCAGGGGAAAGACAGTTCTGTCCTCAGGGAACCCCCAAGCTGATGGACAGCCATAGGGAGCAGCTTGTCTGATGGAATAGACAAATCACACATAATAATGAAAGTTTACACTGATCACAAACTATTCGCAGGACATGGTTCTGAGTGCTTCACTTGTGTACCCTTCACAGCAACCTCATGAAGTAGGTGCTAGCGTGAGCCCCTTTTTAAGACAGAGAAACTGAGGTACAGGGAGGTGTGTGACTTACTCAAAGTCACACAACAAGTAAGTGAAGAAACATGGCTATGAACCCAGGCAGACTGGCTCCAGAGTCTGTATGATGAACCCCTAGCTTCATTGCCTTCCAAAACAGCTCTAAACAAATGCCAACAAGGGCAAGAGGTGTGACACAAAGTACAAGCTGGATGGGGAGATCAGATCAGAGCAGAGGTGGCATTGGTGAGGGACTGGTCACAGACCTCCTCAGGACGTTGATTTCCCAGCCCCTCTTCTGACTGCCCTGCACTGTTCACTGTGCCCACACTGCGTAGGGGAGCTCAGGTTCCCTCCGTGTCGGCTGGCGTCCAGATCCCAGATAGGGCATCCCCGGCATCCCCTGTGTGAGTTGACCAATGATGCATCAGTACGGCTGCCTTCCTGCCCACTATGGCCCATACTTGGAGGGAATAGATCGGGATACCACAGGGCAGAGGAAGATGTGGTCCAGCCCAGCTCCGGAGCACAGAGCCTGGGTCCTACCCTCTGAACACGTGGCTCTAGAGGTGAACACCCTGGCAGGAGCAGGGGAGGAAAGAGGAGAACCATTGCAATTGGCCGGGATCCAGTTTCATATCTCCAGACCAGCCAGCTCTGCCACATGCCAGCTTTGTGACCATTTCCTGTTCCTCAGCTCCAGTTGTGCCATCTGTAAAATGGGGGAAGGGAACTCATTGAATCACGATACCTCTTCCAGCTCTGGTAGTCTAGGAGTCTAGAACCTGTAGAGTCCTTTTGCATGGTCTGAGGCTCCATGCCAGCATGGCTTCCACCTCAACAGAGTCTGCCCTGTTTCCAGGCTGACGGGCACCAATGGGATCTCTTTCTCATTGGTCAAATCCTGAGCAGGAGGCCAGCCCAGTGG